AGCTCATTGTTTAGCTGCTTCACCTACAATTGCCGAGCTTCTGTCTTTGATATTCTTACCTAACTTGGGATACAGCACTGCTTTGCCTCAGGGTGACACTGTAGCAAATTGGTTCATCCAATTGGTCCTTCATAGTCTAGAGACAGTAACTATGCCCAACTATGATACCGCTGAAACACTTTACATTATTTCATAGCATATTTGTAAATCTGAAAACATGTCCTATTTTGCAAAAGACTGGTGGAAAGACTGAATTGTTACTCATTTCTTAAACTGAATACAAAACAGCAGATGTGTAAGATCTCAGTCAATGTGTGAAAGAGTGAACTACCAAAGCGCATTTCCAAAAGAAGAATTGTTAAACCAGACATTAAAGCTAGCATCAGTGGTGCTATGGCATGTGAGTTAGCAGCCAGCCAACATGGGACCCCCCCCAAATACCAGGGGGAATTTAGCATGCTGATGTTAACGCTACAGCATGCAAAGAGATTTTAGAAAATTTTATACTTCCAACTTTGTGGTGACAGTGGGGAAGACCCTTTCCTGTTCTAGCATGACTGTGCCCCTCTGCACAAAGCAAGATCCATAAAGACATGGTTTGATGAGTTTGGTGTGGAGGAGCTCCAGTGGCCTGCTCTGAGTCCTGTCCTCAACCTCACTAAACACCTTTGGGATGAGCTGGACTGTTGATTGTGAACCAGGCCTTCTCATCCAACATCAATTGGATGAGAAGGCCTGGCCTCACAAATGCAGGCTGACCTCACGAATGCTGGATGAGCACAAATTTCCACAGACACACTCTTAAAATCTTGTGGAAAGGCTACCCAAAGGAGTGGAGGCCGTTATAACCACAAGAGGGGCCATATTAATGCCCATGGTTTTGGAATGGGATGTCCAACAAACTCGCATAGGTGCAAGGCTCAGGTGGCCACATACTTTTGACCACATAGTGTATGTATGAGTTGCCAGCTTATAAAATACATCAACACTCATTGACCATTTTAGTGAAATTACAATATACAATTTATCAGTTCATCATTGGGAAATGACCACTGTAGGACCACTGCTGACCTGTTGTTATTCGGGTGGTGGACCATTCTCAGCACAGTGACACTGACATAGTAGTGGTATGGTAGTGTATGTCATGCTGAGGCATCAGAAACTGGTGATGCTGGGATCTTCAACTCAGATAACAAATTCTGATGAAGTATTTTGTGATGCAAGTGAAGTACTGACCTCAAACAAGATGTTGATGATGATATTGATTTCACCCATATATACTAAAACTCTTGTGAAAGTGGCTTTACACATCACTGTAAACCTGAGAGAAAGATGCTCTTTCAGCAGATTTCCCCAGCAAGACCAACAATCCAGATATAAATCCAGATAAGGGAACTGCAGGCTCATCACACTCCACTTAGTAGAGCACTGCACAGCAAAAAAGCATATAACAATTCAATAAAGGTAGAAATGCATACGAAATCACCAAAGGAGAAATACTCATATACGTGACCAGTAAAAACAAACAGGTTATTTTTTAACTATTGCATGACAATAGTCAGGAGTAGACTAATATTAAAATTTGCACTGGCCACATGGGCCACCAAGAAAGTGAATCTTAAGTTCAGAATTCAAGCTGGCAATAAACCAAATGAAATTGAATTACTGTTGAACAGACGGTTTTAAATGTATTTAAAAAGAAATCAGTGTATACTTCAGCACCACTAGAAGCTCGCTACGTGCCCTGGACCAATCAGAGTCAGGTTGAGGTCTCAGAACTGGTCTGGTGAATGGGTCACACCATACAAACTCAAACCACTACATTATCTCAGCCACAAAGATGTTGTTTTGCTTTAAAAGTTTTCTGCTGGCTTAAGAGTCTGTGGCCAGAATTATATAAGCATGTTTGTCATATAAATTGTATTTACAATTAACAACCAAGCTTCAGTACAAAGAGGAGGTTTTGAAAAGCTTTACATTAAAAAAAACATAATGTAGGTGTAGTGTCAATAGGTGTTTACACAACAAAACACAGACACTTTTTAAATAACTTTTATTTAATAGATGAAAAGTACATTGACTTATTCTCCAGAAATAAAACATTTAGTTATAATAATTACAAACAGCTCATTTGTGCACAATCTAGTTTTTCTGTGCCAGCGCTAATGGCTTCTGCCATTTTTCATTCTAACCGCAACTGCGCTGACAGGACTGTGGGAAGTGTAAGGCAGTGAATCATACATCTACACTGCCTTCAAAATACATTCAAATGGAGGAACCTCTGCATTTAGCAGTGTTAATAGTTTATTTAAGGTGGAATAAAGGCAGGAGGATGGTCTATACTTTATTTTTTGTTGTGTAATACTGTGTGTGCCTGGATGTTTAACACTGATCATGTTCATCATGGTCCCCAAATAATCAACATCTGGATTATTTCATTGCCCTGGCTGACATCAAAAGAAAGCAAAAGAAAGGAGAATTTAGCTATTGGTGGATTTAATCGCTACTTCACTGAAAACACTGGAATGTCCAGTTAGCCATCAACCATCTACCATCAGAATGTAAGCGCAGCATTAGCTTGGATGTATTGTTCTGTAAACTTTAAAACATTCCTCCGAACTCTCACATCTTATTCACAACAATCGTTCTTTTAAGAGTCACTCATTGAAAGGGCTTTGGGGAAACATTTTAGACATCACCCCAAAAAACCCTTTTCGAGAGTGTAGTGACTTCGCCTGCAGGCCTTCTCTTTGAAAAAGCATTCCAGTTATTCACAAAGTTTATGGCTGGTTTTATATGCTGAAATTTCCATGCAACGTTAGTTGCTTAAAATTCACATGAAACTAAATTGCATTTAAATTGCATAATGTTGTCCTGAAACTCCCTTGAAACTCAGCTGAAACAGTTGCAAGCACCTCAACTTTGTGAAACAAGTTTCATGAAACAGTTAATCAAAGCGGCAGTAGGCCTTGATGTGATCACATTGAACAACATAATTTCAAACAGTTGATGTCATCAGATCAATGGCTTTGGCTAAAACACAAGTACCAGGGAAATGTGAAGTAAAACTGTAGCTTCTATCAGGAGCAACGTCCAGATTTACTTCATGACAATTCCTGATCAAATAATTCAGTAAGTTACAAAACAGTTTTCAGTCTTTGAGCATATATAGTTCAATTGGAAACAACTTGGTTTCCTTCATTGTTTGTCTTGCACAAAGATTCAAAATGATCATATTTCTGTGAAATTTCTTACGTGACTTGTGTGTCATGATGCCTGTGTAGGCACCACCAGCATCCTAACACACCTCCAAAGAAGATAACAGTAAACACATCATTAATTGGTTTAATCTGGCATCAGACCAAGGGACATGTGGTCGTTACTGTTCAGATTGAAACTTCTGCAGTGATGAGCTGTACAGATAGAGTTCTATCAGTTTGCATTCTCAGTGATTCATTTTACTTTAATGAAATTCACATGAAATAGACCAAGTACCATGTTTACTTGCAACTAGCTCAAAATAGGCTTAGTATGTTTAATATGTTAAGTCCATCAAAACATTTATTTGATGTACACACACAATTTACTTTTTATAGGCTTTGGTAAAACATTTTATCAAAAGCATCTTTATGCTTTTCTGTGAATTATACAAACAATTGCATTCAGTTTAACTACAGCCTCTAGTGAAATGGGTCTGTGCTTCTTTTGCATTTGGCCCAGCTCAAGGCCAAACCTGATGACATTCTTTGCTGACAGACATCAGTTTTGAAACTTTAACTGGTGCATTACCAGAATGAACGTTTGGCCCTGATACTGAACAGTGTACATTTGATGCTTAATTAGAGAACGGGCACAATAACACACCCAAGTATGCAGGGTTTCTTTGAATAAACAGCAAGTTAAATATGTGTGTTTCATTCATATACAGTGTACCTGTTATATCTAACAGACTAACACACTGTCCTGATATCTGGACCACTCTACTGAAATAGTTCAAATTGCAGAAAAAAAAGAATATTTGAAAAACAAATTTTTACAAGGATTATGTTCTGATTGAGATAGTAATAAGCCAAGTATATACAAAATCATCACTTATAGGGTGCTTTCTATTGGGAGTTTCAGCTTATGAAAGTAAAACTTGATTTTTTTTTTTTTTTTGCCTTTTTACAATGTTGTTTTAGAAAAGATCTTTTTGATTATTTTAAAGTGAAATTGAAAGATTTAAATAGTTGTCTGACATGCTACTGGCCAGATAAGAAGGTTGCGCTTTTGCAAAACTATGCAAAAGTTTTAGGCACCTGAGAAAATTAGATTTTAAAAATATTTATCTGGTCAATAAGCATTTATTTGCTCATAGGAAACAGTAATGTACAAGAAATACAAAGATTACCAATACAATAAATAGTGGGTGTGTCTCAAAGAGCTCCCTAGGTCAGTAGTTGTGGTACTGTCCAGGGAATCAGCCATTTTCTAGAGTCTCTCATTGTCAAAATCATTTCATTGCACTGAAACTTTCATTCCCTGAAAGTTCCCATAGTGCAGCATAAAAACCAGTGAGCATCGACTGTTCACTCCCTGTTCAGCTCAGTTTTCTTAAAGTTTTGAAAATCACGACAGCGTTACATAACACTGTATGTTACCTCACTTGCAAAATCAAATAGACAGACACTCACTGCCTCCAAGGCCAAATGAAATGCTGTTTCTGAATGATCCTGTATTCATGCAGAAATGTTTCTGTCCCTCTTGTGAAATACAGTAAAGAAAATAGTACATATTTATTAGTATATACACAAAGTTACTTGCATTGCATTGATTGTGAAGGATTTGTTTGAAAATGGTTATCATGGATGAGATGCATTGTGATAAGTAGACATCAGGGCTGTCTGTGCAGTGATGGTGGGAGCTAACTGGTGAAATATGTTCTAAAGAAATTGTGAGACATTTGTGTCAGTATCTATGTGAAGGAATTGATGAAGATTTTTTATGCAAATCAAGTGCCTTATTTTAATAAAAACTTCTGGTAATGTCCTAAATATATTAAAACACATAAGATGTAACAGGGGTAGGTGTGGTAGGTGGTGGGTGATGCTGTGTTACATATATCAGTAAAGATCAGGAGTTTTCTTTCCACACTTGGTTCATTTTCAAACTTTTATTTTTTATCATTTCACATGTGTAACAAGACAGGATTTACTCTCTAGAAAGTAACACATGAAAGTAACATAAAACTTGTATAGCCAGTCAGAAGCTTCTTTACAGTGGAATTATTTGTTGTGAATCATGAACGACAGTTTTAAGGTCAAGTCAGCGCCGATGAACCACTGATGATACTGATTATTTCATTTTACCCATTATTTCTTTGATCCAGGGCAGGAATCCAGAAATCTTGGTGTAGCCATATGGTTTTAGAGGAGTTACACAGTTCTTGACATAGAAGGACATGATTCCGACTGCAGTATTATTACACACCAAAGGACCTCCAGAGTCTCCCTGCAACAAACAGGTACAATCTTAGCACACTGCTGAACTGACCTTTATAAAGCTACCGCTTAAAAGTACAAACGCTAAATGTAAAACACTGAACACTGAATGTAAAAGTGCATTCAACAGATTTCACAAGCAAAAAGCTTTGCCTTATTTATCAAAAAATCTTAAGAAAAACTTTACCATGCAAAATCCCCCATTATGAGTGTCTGTACACAGTGTATTGGGGTATTTCAACAAAGCTTTGCATTTCTTGCTGCTTAACATCGTGACTTTTGCCTCCAAAAGAACATCACTTGCAGGTCCACTGTTTTTTGTGCGTCCCCAACCAGCTACACTGCAAGTGGTGTTTTGCTCAAAGTCTTCATCTTTTTCTGGGATGGAGATCCAGGAAGCATTTACAACTGGCTTGGCTAGCTGTAACAAAATCATCATAATTATTAGCAAATGCAGTAAACAGAACTGAATTTGATCAATAACAGAAGTGAATATGGTTTGATCAGGTTGTTACACTGCAGATCTTTTTTCAGAACCGTCCCAGAATCACCCTGAAAAATATCGCCAGCCAGACCAAAGTAAAACTTAACCATCAAAAATATTAAATGTTTTTTATTTACATTACAGTTCTTTCTGGAATTATCATAGTACTACCACATTATGGACTTCAAAAAATGACAAATGTCAGATGATAATGTGCACAAAATAAAAGCTTTAAGCAGTTGTTTTGCAATTTCACCCCCCAGAATTTGTAATTAATCTGTAAAATATGCAGTTGCTACTTTTTTTAGTTAATATAAGGATTTACACAGCAATGAAATGTGTAGCCATTCAGCAGTGGTTACTGGAGAAATGGATTTTTTTTAAAAAGAAAGAAAAGAAACCACTGGGGCAGAAAGTGAAAAACAATGCCCAAAATGGAAAATGGAGAGCTTCTTCAGTAATGCCGTTTTTAAACTTTCCTCTCTCTCAGCATCAGTCACTTCTACACATTTTCTCTCTAATGTCCTGCTAACACAGAAACCTTTTATCAAGTTTATTATTATTAATTGCATGTAAAATCCTAAATGTGTTAAAATGTGACTGTGAGTGTGATGCAATCAGTCAGAGACTGTAAAAATCCAACACAATAAGAAACTGTAAAATAAATGTGTGTTACAAGCTTCAGTTGATCATGTTTAAGGTAGATAAAGCTAAAAAGGGGCTAAAAATGTGGATGCAATGTTTTGATGCTTGGTTGTTTGATTCCTGTTGCATAGGAATTCCTGCTCACAGGCTAATTGAAGTTAGCATTATGCTAGCTATAGACATTTCAAGAAAAAATTAGATTTATAAAGCAAATTAAAAACCGTTTCTGCATTAAACATTTTGTTGGGCATGAACATCTGGGACCAAATGGCTCAGTCATGATTTTATAACTGTTATTAAGTTTAAGTTAATGCAAGTTAATTGTCCCTGAAGCATCCTAAAGCACTTTAAACATCGTCCTGTGCACTATTTTTATCCTTTTATCAAAATACTACTTATCTGCAAATCACTAATGGCCTGTTTCCCAGACATGGATTAAGTCTAGTCTTGGGCTAAATTACAGTGTCAGTGGTGAATTACTAATGGAAATTCTTTCTAGTCTAGGATTAAGTTTAATCTGGGCCTGGGAAACGGACCTTAAATGGACTAGGGTCTATTTACATTGCTGACAAGCTGGAAAAATACAGCCCTAATTTAAGTATCTGTCTCAAAACACCTAATTGAACTTATGAAAGGTTTATAATTAGCTTTTGGATCAGGTGTGTTGAGGTGGGGTTTGGGGGTCCACAGAGCTGCAGTTGGACCCACTGTCTATATGGAGTAAACAGAGCCACTGTGTGAACGAAGCCAAAAGTATTGACAACTTTTTGCTCAGTGGTTGCATTTTTTAAACATTCATTAAAATGCCTCAAATTTGTATATATACAGTTTTATTTACAAGTTATCATTTTTTAATTATACATTTTTTTCACCAGACATTTTAGAAAAGTAGAGAAAATATCACAGGTCAAACACTAAAACACTAAACCACTATGCTATATGGTTTAGGGAGAGGACTGCTGGGATATGTAGTTTTTATATATCTTTAGTGAGACGTAGGCATGAATGAAATGCTTTAAACTTTTGTTGTCATTTTCAACAAAAGGTCTCTGAGGGTTAAATTGGAAGGTTGAGGTTCTGGTTTAGTCCATTTAAATAACACAGTAAAAGCTTTGTTTGAGTAATTACTGCATTTACCTTAAACATTTCACCATGTTTAACCAGTTTTGCCTTGCACAGATTAATAAACTCAAACAGAAATATTTTGGAGTGATTGTTTACCTTCAGCAGCATGATGTCATTTGCTGGGTTTTTGGGGTCATTGGTAAAGTTTGGGTGGCTGTATTTCTCTGTCACTTGTATGCGCTGAAAGTTGTTGGTCTTCAGATTATGAGCTCCTATCACTGCTGTCACATCTGTCCATTTTTTTACTCTGTTAAGAGGAACCAACAGGTAACACTAAAAATATTTTAAAGGTCTGAACCCCTTAAATCCTTAATTATTGAATAATTTGCTGAATAATTTACTTAAATTATTGAATAATTTATTGAGTTACAGAGATTTATATCTGAAAATTAAGAAGTTAAAAAGCACTGATATTAACAGTGTTCACAAGACTCTCCTCTACTTGAAGAGGAATTCCACTGTCTTAATACATTTTTACCGTTTAATGGTTGAGGTGGTGCCCACCTTTCCAGGGAAGAACAGAGAGCTGTCCCCCTCAATATATCATTGTAAACATAACTACATAATTCTAAAGAACTTGTGCTGATTATAGACATAAAACTATTCGTTTTTAAGTTCTGAAAGATCATCACCCCCTTCATATGCCTCACAGTGGTCCACTGCCTCTCATCCCTGAACCATAGATATACACACATAGATGCTGCTATGGGTTCAGCCAGGCATGTCAACGGCGCCGCCATTTTGGAGTGGTCAACATCGCTGTCCAACTGTGTTCAGTACCATAACAGAGTGTGTCCCCTCCAGAAATGCTCTTGAAATTGTTTTCTATTTATTGTCCCCCAACAGTGAAGTAAAATATCCGCCCATGTGCTCCTCCACCATTAATGGATTTACAAATATGTAAATTTTAGCTAAAAAGCTTTTCTCAAAACTACTGTAAAACAGGCTTCAGGCAAAGTATTTTTTTTATTATTTTTATATACTAACTGTATTTGACAAGGCATTCAACTCTTCAGACGTCTGAACAATTCTGACTCACTTTCTCTAGAACAGAGTATTTTACACCAAAATGACTTTGTTTACATCTAAACCATTTAATTCTCCACAAAATGGGAAAGACCTGTGGAATTTCTCTTAAATGACTGTCGGCCTAAAGCATAGCGTGCAAGACTTGCTCTCGATAGACATTAGACACTGTGACAGTAACAGTAAAAATGTAGAAGTTATTTGTTCCCAGTATTATTTCTAGTGCTGGATGACCTGTAGCCCTGCTTCATTACTCACTAATCAAAGACAAATCATTGCTTACTTTAGAATGTTTGGTGAAGCCATTCACAACGCAAGAAAGAACCAACTAAAGACGGCAGCAAGATAAAGAACGAAATGAAAAGCTTACTGATTTTGGCAGTGCGCAGCCGTCATGACGAATTGTTCACTCACAAGGAAGCCACCACAGAAGTGGTGAGTCCCTGCTTGGAGAGACACCATGTAGGGTCTGGAGTGAGGTTTAGCCTCTGTGCCATTCACTATACCAACATTCACGCTGGCTGGGAACAAGAAAGTAAATCCAAGCTGATTATACTTAGTTAAACAAACATTGTTATAGACTAACTTTGCCACTATATTTTTTTATAAACGGGTAAATATTGATCTTTGGGCATTTTTGAATCTTAAAGGGAAAAAACTCTCAAATCACACATTTCAAAGTCTCAACTGTTTAACTATATTGACTACTAACAAGACTTTAATGTGAACACAATTGCATTACTTTTTGTGGTATATTGTACATTTTTTTTACATTTAAAACAAATAATTAAGTTACTGTAACAACAATTTGGTGCCGACATCTGAAAATGTTTAAATATACATCATGAGCTGGAAATAGCAAAATAATAACAAAACAATTATAAAACAGTAACTCATACAGTCATATGTAAACGTTTGAACACTCCTGGTCAAATTTTATTTTTTTGTTGAATTTCTAAGTGAAGGGAACAAACTTAAAAATGGCACTTCACTACACAGTTTCTAGAAAAAATAGAACATAAACCCAATAATTGAGCAAATAAACAGTAATTGTGCATTAAAATGTACTTCCTCTGCATGTTAGAATAAAAAAAAAATGAGTACCTTGTTAGATATTTGTATTTTTAATTGAAGCCAGATTAAAGCTTGTCTTAAAGTAAAGCCTAAAAGATGTTTGTTAGTATCACCATCATTCATTCTGTGGTGGAAATGATATATTAACAGTTTTTGGTAAAAAAATAATAAAAAAAAAATAATAATAATAATAATTCAGAATCTCTCATCATTCTAAGGCTAATTAATAGCTAGCATATAGTGTATCCTAAAAGCGCACAATAATTCTTTTTTTCAATGTTTTTGACATAATTTTACACAATTTTAGTTGTAAAAAACAAGTGATGAAGACATTAAAAAGTATCCAGTACTGAGAAATGTGTGTATATATTTTATCAGATTAAATATGTATGTGCAATATATGTGCAATGTATTTGATAATTTGAAAATATACACCGATCAGCCATAGCATTAAAACCACTTCTATGCTTAAACATTCGTTGTCTGTTTTATCAGCTCCACTTACCATATAGGTTCACTTCATAGTTCTACAATTATAGACTGTAGTCCATCTGTTTCTCTGCATGCTTTGTTAGCCCCCTTTTACCCTGTTCTTCAATGATCAGGACCCCCACAGGATCAACAGAGCAGGTATTATATGGGTGATGGATCATTCTCAGTGCTGCGGTGACACTGTTGTGCAGTGACACTATGTCCACTCACTGTCCACTCTGTAAGACACACCTACCCTATTGGTCCACCATATAAATGTAAAGTTACAGACTGTAGCTCATCTGTTGCTGATGCTGCCCACAGGACACTGTTGGCTGGATGTTTTTGATTGGTAGACTATTCTCAGTCCAGCAGTGACACAGCAGTGCTGAGAATGATCCACCATCCACACAATACCTGCTGTGTCGTGGTCTTGGCCATTGAAGAACAGTGTGAAGGGGGCTAACATAGTATACAGAGAAACAGATGGACTACAGTCTGTAATTGAAACACTACAATTACAGACTGCAGTATTGTTAAGTGGAGCAAATGAAAGGGACAAAGAGTGTAGAAACAAGGAGGTGTACTCAATGAAGTGTTCGATGTACATGTGCAATATGATGGATTTAAATATATGCCAATATATGCAAATATATGTCAATATATTAAAATATATACTGTTTTAATGTGACCCATATGGTGTTCAACACATCTGGGTCAAAACTCTGATGACCCTTAAGGCCTTCATTGACCATGTTAGATTTAGATTTAGATTAAACAGAACATCAGAGCCAGGGTTGTGCTCACCTGCTATGAAACAGAAGCTATGTGTAGGTGACACTTACCAGAGTGGCCCAGCTGTGGCAGCAGAGCAGCCAGAAGGAGCAGAGAGATGAGAGCCATGGTGCTGTAGGGAGAATGAAGGTTCACCTCAGTGAGGGAGAAGATTATATGTAGCATGGTGGGTGAGGTAAGTTCACCACAAGCAGACCCTGTTCTCACATCAAGTAGCAAGTGCTCCTCCTCAAAAACCCTGCTTTTCCTGTTTATCATATAGTGGTTTATTTTCACAGAGATCATATCTGTAACAGACGGCATGTCTGATGTCAGCAAGCTGATGGATCTGACCCCTGGCCTGTGTTAGGCTCTATGAAATGCTTGTTTTTTTTTTTTATTCTACAGAGTGCATTGTTCCAACCTCAAGAAAAGCTAGTCAGAAATAACAGAATAGATTACTAATTTCATTTGTGAATTAATGATTAATGATTAATGAATTAAGTTATTTGTAGGGTTAATGACAACTTACAATTCCTAATTCACAGTCTAATCAAAATACTGAAATTCTAACATCTTACTCATAACTGAAAACTCTGTCACTACATATTATGTTTTACTTCAGTTTGAAATAGTTTTATCATCCAGACCACCAGACAATCATTCCACCAGCTGTGGTTGTCTTATATCTATGTAACATGCAAAAAAGCACGTCTAGTTGTCTGTCAGAATGAACCGCTCAGTATCTCTAGTGACATAAGCAATACTTCATAAGGAGCCTGACTAAAGCCTGGGCTAATGCACTAACTACAACTAGCCATATGACAAACAAGACAGGTGAATCAGGAGTGAATTGGAGTTCGCCAAAGAGTCAGGTCTGGAGGAATGCGTGACATTAAACATATGGCAAGTTTCATTTTTGGTGTTTGAGAGATGACCTGACTTGTGTCCAAAGTATTCTGTGCAGTTATTTGGTGCATAAATAAATAAAAAAGTTGCCCAGAGTCAACAGTTAAGGTGCACCAAACCATACTTGCTCTTGGCAAACAGTAGAATCTTTGAGAACCTGTTCTTGGGTAACACTTATAACATAATTAATTGTGATGACACTTGTTTGATTCTGAAAGTTACAAATGGTTTTGAGCCGTCACAGATTTCTGTGTTGTTTTATACACAAAATGTTGCTTGTGTTAGTTATTTTCTTACCTTTCTGATTCTGGTTTACTATTTACTGCATTTTGGCGTATTCACATACATTGACCAGCCTGGGAAAAAAGCAAACTTTGTGGTGGGGTGAGTGTAGGGGGTGGGGGTGGGGGTTGGGGGGTTGTTGAAGTGTAAGATCTTCAGAACAGATAGCAATGTGTAAATAAAGAACTTGCTGAAATATTTCAACATTAAGCTGATACTCACAAACCCATGAGATTATGCCTGATATTAGCAAATACAAGCATTTTTAAGTATTTTTTTTAGCAGTTACTGAGAGAAAACTGTTTGAATGAGAAAAGCATACAGGATAAGCTACTTGGCTGTGGCAGATTATTTTTCAAATGGAATTTCACCTCAAGTGTATATATTATATATATATATATATATATATATATATATGCGTTGTTTTTCTCTGAAATATGATGTTCATGTTCAAGGTTCAAGGTTCAGGGTCATCACTGTTGACCCCAAAGAGTTTTACTTTGACAGATTTTGAACACCCTCTGTGGTTCATAAGAACATTCTAGCTAGTTAGGTTAAAATGTCGGACTGGGAGCTCCTGAGTTGTGTAACCATTGAAGAGCTGGCCTTATGGCCTTATTTACCTGGCTCTCTCTGGGTAGATTGGATGGCCCTCTCTCTCCCTCATCACTCAGCGCAGCTGCAAGTTAATATAACATAAGTGACAGCTAGTGTTCTTTCCAGCTGTCCAATAATGTTGCATTAGCAGCAGTTACAAAAATGTGCTTCGTGTGTCTTGGTGGAAGCATTCACTAACCTTCACCCTCCAAGCTTGGTGGCATCATGTGAGACCTAGCTAGTGGGTGGAAATTGGCTATGACTAAAATTAGAGGGAAATTGAATAAAAATAACTTGTTGAACTGAATCATAGAAAGAATTTTTAATGAATTGAATTTTTATCAGGTCATGTTGTCTGTCCTGATGTTTTGCACCAAAGGTTCTCAATCTCTAAGAGGCCTTGATGAGCAGATATGGAACCCCTATGGTAATAAAAAGATCACATTGTCTTTCCAAAGAATTTGTGATGCGAGTTATTAATTCACATGTTAAACATATATGGCTTTATCAGTTTCACCACAAAACCATGACAAAAGCAGCACTTTGTGGCTTCCATCTTAATGGTTCTGTGAGCTGGTGAACATCCGAAAGGAGACCTGGCGGTGGGCAGGGTGGTAGGGAGGGGGCATGTCCCTCCTACTTGGTGAAATCACGCATGGTCATTTTTAGGTGTTCCAGGATGATTTACAAAAAATAAACTGCATAGTTAAATTAACATTTGCTTAAATTTCCCTGAACAGTGATATGATATTGTCATTTCAAGCTAAAATATGGTCACTGTTGGAGTGAAGACATGCTGCAAATTTAGCTAGCAGTAAGTTTTGGCTAAAAACTCTAAAAAGTAGTGTCCTTCAGTGCCTTGCAAAGCAGCTAGCATAACAAGAGCAAACTTCAGTAGCAGTAGAGTAGGATGCTAGAGCAGCTGCACATGAGCCCAGTGCCACCATGGCCAAAGTCAATTGTCAGCTATGGGGTACAAAGTCCCTCAGCATTGGGCTGTGGAGCAGTAGACTGCGTTCTCTGGAGTGATGGAGCTCCATCCATTACCTTTGGGATGAGCTGGAGTGATCCAGAACTAATCATCCAACATCAGTAGCTCACTTCACTAATACTCTTCTTTTTGCTCTTTTGCTCTTCTGATTGCAATCAGATTCTCACAGCAGTGTTCCAACATCTAGTGTAAAGCCTTCCCATAAGAGTAGAGGGTGTTATTGCAGAAAAGGGGAGACAAACTCTGTACTAATACCCGTGATTTCAGAAGAAACACTGGAAGAGCTAATGTCTATAAACTTCTGGATGCTAGTAACATTTCTGTGGAAGTCACAGCTGTCAAGGTATAAGAGAAAGAGAAACTAAAGCTGTGTTTAATCTTGCAACACCAATGGTGAATCACCTTTGAATATTCTCTTTAGTCTCTATACAACAGACCATATATGTTTTAGTGCAGGTTTCCCAGCCAGGGATTAAGCCTACACACCATTTTGAGTGGATATTCTCCACTGAAACCAAAACATAGTCCAGGACAAGACTTAATCTCTGTCTGGGAAACTGACCCCCTGGGTTTTCAGTGGGGTCTAGGTAACAGGACAGGGACAGGGGACTGCAAAAACGTGATTCTGTAATCAGTGAAATGTTTTGTTTTGTTTTTTTAATATCCCTTTGTTCATTGGTCTGCTGAAAGATACTTTACATTTGTTAGAGATGACTTGTATCCTAACAAGATTTCCATAGAGATCTATTTGCAGTTTTGTAGTATTAGATTCTTTATGATGCAAAGATGCAGTTGTTGTGCAATTTTCTAAATGTAATCCATGGACAAAGTGTTCCTTCTCAAACCATATATATTTTTTGGAAAATTCAATTTCATGGTCAAAGCTGCATGTGACACATGCAAAAGTTGCTGGTGAAATTATGTCTTCTTAACTTTCTAAGTGAAAATAAGGTCACACACCACAGCGAACAAACTCGAATTTGGCATTTTTCAGTAGAATTTAATGCACAATTTCTATTTATTTGCTGATTTTAATGAAACATAAAGCAATAAATGTGCCATAATTTTTGCACAGGCCACATTTTATGCTTAACTGTTCATCCAGTATGATCAGTTCAGCAAATAAACAGTAACTGTGCATTAAACTGTGCAGAAGTGTGTTCCCTGTGGAGTATGTTAACTTATTTTGACTTAGAAAATCAACAAAACATGTCATTTGGCCTGATGTGGCCAAACCTTTACATACAACTGTATATATGCATGTGATATGTTGAGAGGCCTGATAGTTTCAAGTGACTAATTCAATGTAAATCAAGTGTAAAGGTAATAAATTACTAGGTAATAAACACACTATTATTAGTGTGAACTAAGAATTAATTACTTTAAGTGCAGAGCATACAACCAGTCAAACCCACCACACTCTGTTCCATGAATATATATATTCAAGATGTTTTTGTGAAACTCTGAGCTAACCGACTGAGGGCAGTGGTAACTGTCAGTCAACTGCAATGACTCAAGGACAATTTAATTGTGATTTGCAAATTATTATTATTTTTTTTTTTGTAATGACATGATAAAGCACAGCACAAATAAAAAAGGCAAAAAAATCATTAATGCATGCAAAAGGAAAAGATTTTGTTTATTGATTGTTTCATTGTAAGTCATTGATGATTTCCTTGATCCAGGGAAGAAACTGAGATATCTTCGTGTAGACGTTTGGCACTGTCGGTTTGTCACAGTTCCCACTTTCAAAGAAAGACACGACTCCGACTGCGATATTATTACACACCAAAGGACCTCCAGAATCTCCCTGCAAAAACACTTACGTTAGTACATTGATTAACTGACCCCTCTTTAAGCTGCTGTAAAGCGTATTGGGTAGCTTTTATAGCTACAGCAAGACAGAGAGAGAGAGAGAGAGAGATTTGGCACTTTACCTGACAAAATCCATGGCCGGAACCTGCGCACAGCATATTTGATTCTGAGAAATATTGTCCCCAGTCACTTTTGCATTTTTTTGTTTCTATGACGCTGACGTCTGCCTCCAGAAGACGGGAACTTGAAGGGCCTTCAGATGAAATTTTTCCCCAACCAGCGACGCTGCAAATGGTATTGGCCTTGACATCCTTATTTGTTTTGGGGATGGAGATCCGCTCAACAGTTCTGCTCCTTTGGGCTGGTTTTTCAAGCTGAAACAAGATCACACTTATTAAATAATGAAGTGAATAGATGCTACACTTCTCACAGAATGACAGACCCAAGTAAAAACATGAATGAGGGGGACTGATCGTCAGTCTGTTTACCTCCAGGAGCATGATGTCATTGTAAAGACGCCTGTAACCAGGATAGACATGGTAGAACTTCACTGGTATGCGGTAATAGTTATAGTTGTCCAGATCATGAGCGCCAATCACCACTGTCAGATTCATCCCACTGTTAAGAGAAATCAAATGATAGTATCTTGATGACTTTTGTTTTGTACTGAAGTATACAAATTCTTTAATTATGCTGTTTTGAAACTTCTTCTCATGCTGATTTATATGTAATAAACGCTAATTTGAGTTCTTAATATGTTCTCCTCATGGACCCAAAATACTACTAGCATTAAAACTAAGAAGCAGAAGTTAGTTTCTTATTCTCCAGCTTTATTTACCTATTCCACCTCAAATGGTGCAGAAGTATTATAGTGCCTCTGGCGTCAGAAAGTAACTGCTGCACCATTTAAGGTGGAATGAAAAATTCACAGAAGAAGCTGGCAAATGTCCTTATCAGAAAATGTTATCAAAGGGTAAGCAGTAATAGTAAACTGAGTCTGTATTGAACTAACATTATTAACTCCAAAATATGTTTAAAACACTGAGTTACTAAGCTGTAGTAATGATATAAGATAAACTGTTAAAATACAGGCTATGGCTGTTGACACTTTGTAGTTTGCCTGCCTTCTTTGAGCATGACCAAAAGAGTTAAAGTTAAAGAAGGTGAAAACCACTTTCAGTCTGGTCATGTTGAGCAATGTAATATGAGTGCAGGTCAGCTTGTAGGGCTAATTTACCTTACTATTAATTAGTCTAATGACATAGATTTAGTGCGCAGTAGCATTAGCTTACATGTAGCGATATTCCTACAATATATGGACAGAAGTATTGGGACACACCTATTAATCATTGAATTCAGGTGTTTTATTCAGTCCCATTGCCACAGGTGTATCAAATCAAGCACCCAGCCATGCAGTCTGCCTTTACAAACATCTGAAAAAATGGGTTGTTCTAAAGAGCTCAGTAAATTTGAGCGTGGTACTGTAATAGGATGCAGCCATTGCAACAAGTCAGTTCATGAAATTCCACGATCAGTTGTGAGTGGTATTATTGAACAGTGGAAGCATTTAGGAACCACATCAACTCAGCCATGAAGTGTCAGATCACGTAAAGTTACAGAGTGGGGTCACTGAGTAGTGAGGCACATAGTGCATATAAGTTGCCTACGCTCTGCTGACTCAGTAACTGCAGAGTTTCAAACCTCCTCTGGCTTTAACATCAGCACAAAAACTGCACCAGGAGCTTCATGGCAGGCTTTCCATGGCCAAGCAGCTGCATGCAAGCCTTACATCACTGTGCACAATGCCAAGCGTTGGATGGAGTGGTGTCCGTCACTGGACTCTGGAGCAGTAGAAACGTATTCTGTGGAGAAACGAATCACGCTTCTGTATCTGTCAGTCTGATGGACAAGTCTGGATTTGGTGAATGCCAGGAGAACGTTTGGTGGAGGAGTGATAATGCTATGGGGTTGTTTTGCAGGGGTTGGCCTAGGCCCCTTAGTTCCAATGAAGAGATATCTTAATGCTTCAGCAAACCAAGACATTTTGGACAATTACTGTATATGCTTCCAACTTTGTGGGAACAGTTTGGGGAAGACCCTTTCTGTTCCAGCATGACTGAGCCCCAGTGCACAAAGCAAGGTCCATAAAGGCATGGCTGCGTGAGTTTGGTGTGGAAGGACTTGACTGGCCCACACAGAGCCCTGACCTCAACTCCATCCAACACCATTGAAATGAACTAGAACAGAGATTGTGAGCCAGGCCTATGAATTGAGAATGGGATGTCATAAAAGCTCCTGTAGGTGTAATATGAAGGTATCCCAATATTTTTGCCCATTTAGTGTATTTTGACGCTACATTCCAACACTACACTACCACGCCACTCCTATGTCAGTGTCACACTGGTGATAATTGTCCAACAGCAAAATAATAGGGACTTCACTAACAGTTCTGTGCATGCATTCGCTGCTTCTTGCAATCACAGCCTGCTGTGCTACTACTTTGCTGTAGTCACTAAAATGTGAGGTTTTGGTAAGTTAATTTACCTAACGAGGTTCAATTTTGATTGGTCCTTTTTAGATGAAACAAACAGACTCTCAATAACATCAACAACATAGTGATGTAGCAGCAGTGAATACATTCAGATTTTCAAGATTTTAATAAACTGCATGAATAAAATTTGCTCATTATCTGCTGAATTCAGTTGTTTTTCACTTTGTTTGGAGAGTCCAAATTAATGTCTGTAGATGTTTAACCTGAGAGGTCACTGAACATGTACAGATCATCTCAACATCCTCAACAAGCTGTTATAGACATGCTGCTGACACCATTCTGTAACTGAATCTTAACGAGATTAGGATTTTGTTAAGGTTAGGGTTAGGATTGGGGCCATGATTATGGTTGGGCTTTGGCTGGAAAGGTTGGAAAAGGTTAGCTTTTGCTTGATAGAAGGAACATATTACATCTACTTCTTGTACCATATCAACGATACATCTTCTTAACGCAAGTAATCTATCAACAGTATGTCTTCAAGATATTTACCTTCGTGAATTCAGATGCTGCACAACTGCTATTTTACTGATGTGTTGATGTGTTACTGATACTCTGTTAAGAGTTTATTAATCATCTACAAAGGACCACCCAAATTGAAGTGCTACGCTGTTGCACAATGACTTTTTTCATGGTTTTCATTTTTCCCGGCCATGGCAGTAACACAGATGTATTTCCCGTTGTTGTAGCCTTCTTTCCAGCTGTTTGATGCTTAATATCTGGTCAGTCCAATGGTGATCCCTTTCCTATTGATGGATGTAGTAGATTGACTAATAAATAGTCCATCAACATATGAGCTAGTCATTGTAAACCTAGTGTACAGTGGTGTTTCCCATTTTCCTAAAAGAAAGAGTGAAGTCAGCCTCGTTAGAATTACACTAAAATGAATGTAACTGCCTTGTTTCTGCACTAGACATCTCAAAAGCAAAATTAAATGACGTACATGATTTCATATCTGAAAATGAATACCTGACACAAATGAAATATCATAAGATACAGGAGGAGGAGGCCTGGAGTTAGAGGATACATACCAGAATGGCTCAGGCATGGCAGCAGAGCAGCGAACAGAAGCAGGCAGGTGAACACCATGGTGCAGAGCAGAGTGAGTGAGTTCTGCTCAGAGAGAAAGAGGAGTTTAAGTAGTACAGTGCATCAGTCTCGATCACTCTGCATTTCCTTTTACAAAAATGCCCTTAACTGCACACAGTACTGTGCAAAAGTCACAGACCACATCACTGTTTAATTTCCTCTCATGCTATTCATTTTTAAACATCAAGACAAGGATATATTTGTACACATATATTTAACAGAAAATTACACAGTTACACAAGTTTCATGTCCATGCTTTGTCTTCACTACAGCTTCCATTTTATTAAGAGACCTGCTTTTTTCAAAGAAAACTGGAAGGATGTTTTTTTCACACTCCAAAAGTTCAGTCTTAGAAGTTGGTTGCATTTTCTGCTTCTCACAATTCAAGTAATGCCAAACATATCTAGTGATGTTGAGGTCTGGACTCTGGGGCGGTCAGTCTGTTGTTCTAAGGACACCAGTAGCTTCTGTATTTCTTTCTTATTTCAGTCTCATAGTGCTGAGTTGTCTTCTCACAGTGTAAGGATGGACAGAAATACATGTGGATCTTTTCAGATCTGAAGCAAGAATGGAGCTTGATTTTCTCCTCTCTCTCAAAGATGAAAAGTAAGTACTGTTTATCTGATGGTGACAGTTGTGGTGGTCTACTACCAAACAATTGCTAGGAGTCCTATTTTCTCTGCATCTGTTAATTGTAACTCCAGTTTTTTCACTATATTTTTGCTTAAGAAGCCCAAGCTAGAATTTCTTAATATGAATCACTGTGTTGCCAGTATATTAGATATACGTACCTATTGTCCCTACAATCACTGGCCATTTTATCAGAAGCACAGGTGCATTTTATAGATTTACAGTAACTGACTGTAGCCAATCAGTTGCCGGACAATTTATCAGCAACCCCACCCCTCAATCTTGTCCATTAATGGAAAGAGTAGTAGTACCACTGCAGACCAGAAATTACTTGAATCATGGATGATTATCAGCACAGCACATGATAGTAAACCACTCAGTAGATGTGTCCAGATATAGACCATTTGTTGAAGATGCGATATTTACCAAGTGTTTTAATTTGCCGTATGAACTGCTTTAGCCAATGCTGTACAAATATTAATGCATAGTTGGTAATATTACTAGAAAGGCTAAGAGTAAGGCAGGTCAAGAGTAACTGCTCCACTACCAACTGTGTTGGTACCCTCGAGGGTACGTCCTCTGTACCACATAACTGTACCATATTATGCTCCAGTTATATATTTATAGTAACTCCAAACACCCTCTCCTAACTCCACACTTTTTATTTTTATACATGCAAAGTTACACAAGGTAGAAATATGCACATTTCCCCAGAGAAAGACTCATTTAGGTACACAATGAGGCCTTGAGGCAGGCCCAGCCACAGGGAGTCATGTAGTGCCCCACCAACCAATCATCACGGCCCCCTGCTTTTTATACATGCTTCTATAGCTGCAGGAAGAAAAAAAAGAACAAACTGAACCTCATGTGTGCTACTCTTCTTGCTGCGTGTGCCTGATATAAAAGGCTACATCAGTTAACATGGGAGGATTTGAATGAGTCACTCTGTGTTGGCTGCATTACAGGAATGTGGTTTATGTTGTGGGAAGATAAATGAGTAGATTTTCTGAATGAGTGGACCTTTGGTGATCTGCTGTTGATTGTTGGTTTCCAGTGGTGAATCATGACAGTTAGAGCAAGGCCTTCAACGTAAGGTATAACTGTCAAAACTTGGTCAAAGCATGAGGAAAAACTCGCCTCTATGATAATGCTAATTTCTAATTGCGCCTCTGTGGGAATTTAGTTATTTCTTAGCACTAAGCTAATGGTGTGATCATTTTGTCCATTCTAGATTAAACACAGACATTTGAAGCTTCTAAAACACATTCCATGTTTTACTTGAAGCTTGTGACATACATATTAGCATATGTTTTATCTTGAAGCAGTTTGACACTGATGCTTTCTGTAGAGA